TATAGTGGGGCTCTCACCTTTCACAAAACACCAAACCCTCGCCCCTCCAAGACCGCTCTTTCACCACCACCGCCGCCCTCACGCTCCATACTCCATAGGCGTAATAAAGACATCCGACTTCTACCAATCACCTGTATCCGTGCCGTGTATATTGCCACATTAGCTTCCTCTCCCACGTATTAAAGCTGGTTAGCCCCGCACCCACAATAGCTCCCACCAGTCATTTTCCACCAGGCCCCGAGGAGCTGTTCTCGGTTCTCGTGCCCAAAGACCTGCCCATCACTACAAATTCTTCCATCGGAATCAGGGGAAATCTACAGATTGCGATTACAAGGATACATTCGACGTCACAACGCCATCACAACAACCACAGTTACCACACATCCGATCTCCCACTCACCTCCGAGGAGTGACAAGATGGAGCAAGTAAGACGCAGTTCTCCAAAAAATCCCAGGTAACCCCAACTAATGCTCTCAAGATCCTACAGGCCGTCGACATCTCCTTCAATCCCAGCGCCTCGCAAGACTTGAAGAGGCAGGTACGTAATCGTGTCTCTACGTTCAAACTCCCGCCCATCGCTTCAGGACTTTTAATAATCCGCTTGAATAGGCTTTAGATTTTCTAACACAAGTTAAAGAGTCCGAAGATGGCTGGCAAATATGCCTGGGGCTATTCGTCGAGAGTCCTGCCCCGTCGGAAATTGCCAGAGTTTACGCCTTGGAAATTGTAAATGGGGCCATCTTGCGTTACTATAGGTCAGGAGGTGACCCTGCACCATTACACCTGATCAAAGAAACACTCTTTAAATATACACAAAGCTCTTATGGCCCAAGAGCATCAAATTTCGATAATGCGGCAATACAGAACAAATTGACGCAGACGATGACATATCTGTTCATGACAATGTACGGGGAATCATGGACCACCTTCTTCGACGATATACTGCAATTAACATCCAGTTCGACAGACACTACAACAGGAAAGCCGAAACGGGATAACCTCATCGGAGTAGTCCTCTATCTCCGAATTGTCGCAAGTATCCACGAGGAGGTGGCCGATATCCTTCTGGCAAGAGGTCCAAACGACAGCTCAAGAAACACATTACTGAAGGATCAAATACGAGAACGAGATATAGGGAAACTTGTTACCTCATGGCATGAGATTCTTGTGGAATGGAAGGGCAAAAACGATGACATTGTTGAGATGACTTTGAAGGTCATCGGAAGATGGGTCAGCTGGATCAGCATTTCCCTTGTTCTTACCCCCGACTTTGTCAATAGTCTATGGGAGCTTTTGACAATTTCCAGCAAGGTCAAGGATGCCACTCTTGAAGCGATGGCAGAAATTGTGGTTAAAAAAATGAGTTCTTCGGACAAAATAGAACTTATCGAGTTTATGAAGGTTGTGGACATGATCAGCGGACTTTTGGCCCAAGATCCCTCTCTACAGCCAAAAAACCAAGCATTCAACGTCGAGTTGGCCGAGAGAGTTGCAAAACTAGCTAACAATGTGGGGTCGGAGTTGGTTAGGGGCATAGATCTTGTACGTTGTCTCGGTCTTAACAGGATGTCTACTTTGCTAACGAGATATTTTTATCCAGAAAAAGTCGAATGAGCAGATGATTTTCCGCGTTATGCAACTGATCCAACAGCTAATGCCATCATTCTTCTTCTTGTTTTCCAACGAGTACGATGAGGTTTCTTCGGCATTATTTCCATTTACGACTGATTTCCTTGCCTTCTACAAACAATACCGAAAGGAGACCAATTCCCTTCCAACAGAATTATCAATACTCCTCCCCCAGATCCTGAATGCCGTCATCACCAAAATGCAGTTTGATGAGTCGTCGAACTGGGGTGACGAGAGTGAACAATCCGAAGAGGCTGAATTTTTAGAGACACGTAGGAAACTGAAAAATTTACAAGATTTGGTTGGTGTCATCGACGTACAATTGCTGATAGAAACACTTTTCACGATTGTAAACAATGCCTTTGACAAGGTATCTCAGGGTGGCCAGGGTGCAATTGGTTGGCGAGAACTTGATCTTGCAATGTACGAACTACATGTGTTTGGCGACCTAGCATTTCAAAATGGGAATCTATTCATCAAGTCAGAAGCGGGATTAGTTCCAAATGGCCATGCTGCTGTCTGTCTGGTTGGTATGGTTATTAAAATGATGAACTCAGGTATGCTAATAACCTTTGCTCCGTTATCGTACATTCCAGAATATCAACTAATAAAAATACACAGATGTGACCTCATATCCACATCCCTCAATACAGCTCCAGTATATGGAAAATATTGTGCGCTATGTTAATGTTTTCGAGGTTCATAAAGAGCTTATCCCACGAGCGCTGGAAAGTTTTGTCCAGGGATGTCATTCATCTCATGTTCGAGTTCGTGCAAGGGCTTGGTATCTATTTCAAAGATTTGTCAAAATAGTACGAACACACATTGGACAAGTTGCTGAGACTGTTATACGTGCCGTGAGCGACCTCTTGGAAGTCAAAGCGGATCTGTCAGAGGAAGATGACATGTCATCCGATGATGGGAAGAAATCCGATACTACTTTCGACAACCAGTTGAATCTCTTTGAGGCTGTTGGAAGTTTATCATCCACATCTTCAATTCCTCCGGAAAAGCAAGTGGAATTTGCTCGGGATATCATTGCCCCCCTATTTCTAGACATACAAAAAACCCTTCCGGCTGCACAAAATGGCGATGCGCGCTCTGTTCTCCAAATTCACCATGATATCATGGCTTTGGGCACACTTGCCCGCGGCTTCTCTGACTGGGCTCCTGGGACAAAGTCAGGCCCTCCTCCAAGCCCATTGATTTCGGAGGAGTTTGAGCGAGTGGCTGAAGCTGTTCTGGTTTCACTTGAGAACCTCAGCAATCAACTACTCATTCGAGATGCTGCTCGATTCTCATTCTCCAGGATGATTGGTGTTTTGGGTCCAAAGATACTACCACTACTTCCTCGCTGGATTGATGGATTGCTGGGCAAGAGTTCATCCAAAGAAGAGATCCAGATGTTTTTGAGATTGTTAGAGCAAGTTATACATGGATTCAAGGTAGGTTTCATGTATTCCACACCTTTGATGGCATCAAATGCTTACTATTATAGACTGAGATCTTCGATATTCTCAACTCTTTGTTCACGCCGTTACTAGAAGTGCTATTCACAGCTCTCGCTCAGCCCACTGAAGGAACAGACGATGAAATCAGCCTCGGTGAATTACGCCGAGAATTGCTGAACTTCTTCCAGGTCATTCTTAACAATGATTTGGGGGGTGTTTTTGTGAGCGAAAGTAGGCTAAGATCTACCTCGTATTTTGTAAATCAGAACATCAAAACTAACAGGCTTGTAACAGTCAACCTTGCGACTTTCGACCGAATTACACAAGCCATAGAGCACTTTGCGAAAGAGAATAAAGACCCCAAAACACAACAAGGGTCATTCAGTCTTATGAGCAGGATGTGCATTGTGGGTTTTCACTTCTCCATTGGGCAAAGCCGCCTAGCTAACTTCCTACCAGAGCCCACAAATCAATTTTCATGGAATTGCTGATCTTATTCAACGATTCTCTGCTACTTGCTGGGCTGTTCCAACCAGTCCTGGATTTAACACAAAGGACGCCCAGGCTAAAATCGTGCTTGGTGAAATTGGTGGTGTCCAAAAGGCCATCTACCAGAAAGCTGGTGGCGATTTTATCACGTACGCTCTCGAACTCAACGCTTTATGCCTGTGCTAACTTTCTGTTTAGATTCCTTCGTACCATCTACTTCCCATCAGTCGGTGCGCCACCCGAAATGGCCGAAAATTACCTGGGCGCCTTGCAGAGAATGTCGGAAAAAGAGTTCAAGGGCTACTTCAGGGTGAGTTTATCAAATACCATGATCTATATATAAAATCGATATTAATCTCTTAATGAACAGGACTTCGCGTCAGGGAAGGCAGCACGGTAGACTATTTTACTAGATTTATCTGCGTCTACATGCAATCCGCCATTATAGGATTACCCTACTTTAGACCGCAATAGTACGCCAGCGCCGATAATCTGACAATACAATAGCATCTTTCTTCTTCCAATTTCACTTCTCATTAAGCTGGAGTTGACTAATTGGCGAAACAGAACTCAACTAGTTCATTATACCTCCCATAACTGGTTTCCTTTCCATATTGAACTTCGACGCATCTACACCATGGTTTGATTTTTTTCACGGTCACGACTGATTTCTCTGGAAGGCGATACTTGTTTTGTGCATGCAATTGCACCATTCTATTCTGTTTACTTTCTTCTGTTTTTTTGTTTTTTTTTTGGCCTTTAAAATACATTTCCTCCTCATCCTTTCTCTCTTCCCCTTTCTGCTTGCTTCTTATTCGCTTTAGACAACTGGAGACGGGCTATATATTTGTTCAACTCTGATTTTTGTTCTGTGGTTTTTGTTTTTTCTGTTTTCTGTTTTATATCTTCTTTCTTTAATCATATTTCTTTTACATCTACCAACTTATTTCTCCAAAAATCATTCATATCCTTATTTTCTTTAGTTCCTTCATAGGTATCTTCTGTCATGATCATATTTGTGGGTTATCGCTGTGGTTGTGGCCGGCGCCATGGCCATATGGTTCTAGGTGGGGCAATTAATGGGGGGGGCGAGGCTACATAGGTTGATTGATTGTTTTCTCTCGGTTTTCTTTTCTCGTGCCTTGATGTCCATTAATGTGCCCTCGAGCTCCATTGCTATTTTGCATGGCATGGGGTGGTAGCTGCAAAAAATCAATATCGATCCTCGTGATCGGAACCCCATGTGGAATCTTTTCAAAAAAAAAATGAAATCGAACATTATTACTGTCATTTCAAAATAAAACCCATCTAGTGATAAATGCCAAAAGTAAGCATGCACATAAATTCCAAATCCGGTAACCCACCCCCAGTGCATTCCTACTACATTGGTCTATATACCTCAAAACACCTCAACATACATCAATCAACCATCCGCACTGGTGTAACGGCTAGCATAACGCGCTTTCATAATGGGTCTAAAGATTCCAGAAAACGATCCGCGTAGACCGGGGTTCGACTCCCCGGTGCGGAACATCTCTTTTGCTCTTTCGGGTCTTTGCCTTTTTTGTTTATTTTGGTTGTCGAAAGTGGCCCCCGGCCCCATGGCCATATGGGACATACCTGGAGGGACGTTATCCGTTACCTACCTACCTAAGTACCTACTTTCCGGATTGTATTTGTAAAATATGTGAAATGGGCACGAGACTATGTGAAATGATCTGTGTCTATAACTTAACTTACTTTGGTAATGATCTATATTAAGGCCTAGGTTTTAATCATAATATACAGGAACAATTGTATGATCACCATGCAGTCGAATTTATTCGTAAAGTACTTACTTAATTATAAAGGAAGTTTAGGTAATTTAATTATAAGGTAAAGTAAACGAATTCATCAAATTTAAATAAACATTTTCAACAAAAAAAACCAAAGTAATTAAATTTAAAGAAAGGAAAAAAAAAAAAAAAAAAAAATCCGATCATGCATGCGCGAACATGTACATGCATATATGCCACGCTGAATAAATGATATAAATGATATAAATGCCTGCCACCCCTCGAGAACCCGTAAAATGTACGTGCGTCTACCGTCCCACCCCCCCCCCATCCCCCCCCCATCCCTCATCCTCCTCCTCCTCCCAAAACAAACTAGAACTAAAACTCCCCGAGTGTTGTTAAATTATAGAGTAAAAAAAGGACGATTAATATTCATGTATCATCATACAAACAAAACAAATAGATAGCTAGATAGCTAGATAGCTGATCATGAGAAAGGATTTTTAGGGAGCGGGGAAAGGAAAGGAAAAACGCAAATGTAATGTAAAGATATATAGAGGTACCTAAGGCCTGTAAGCCATAAAATTTCCCGAGATGGATGTTCCCCCCTGTATGTATGTATGTGTATGTGTATGTGTGCCAGTCAGCCCTTTGAGATCGGGGGCTCCACGTCAAAAGATGTCGAGAATATAGGTCAAAAAAAAAAAAAGATATAAAGAGATATAAAGAGATTCTTATCATCATCTCATCTCATCTCATCTCACAAACTTCACAATCACACTCACAACACCTAAACCACACTCACTCACTCACTCACTCACAACGCCTCGATCGCCTTCAACATCACCAACATCGACTCCTCCGTAAACCTCCTCTCATCCTCGCCCCCCGCCCTATCCTTCTCACTCACCAACCACGCAAAATCACTCTGCATGCCGAGCGGCACATAGGCCTCCTCGCGATGCTGCTCGAGCCTCTCCTTGAGCCTGCTCGTATGCTCAAACATCCTCGCCGCCTCCTCCGCGCGGTCGATAATCTCCTTCTTGATGCCGCACATGGCCGCACAATGCATCCCGAAACTCCCCTCCGCCACGCCTTCCTCGAGTTTATACAGAAACGTGATTCTGCGCTCGGCCTCGTCAACGTCGATAGCCATGCGCTTACACACGATTTCAGGGTGGTATCCCGAGAACTCTGCGGCGAGGGAGTGGTAGTGGGTTGCAAAGAAGCCGATGCAGCCAATGTGGGTTGCAATGTGGTGCAGCACGGATTGCGCGACGGCGACGCCGTCGTACGAGGATGTGCCGCGGCCGAGCTCGTCGAGGATGACGAGGGAGCGCGGGGTGGCTTCCGAGAGGATTTTTTTGGTTTCAGAGAGCTCGACGAAGAAGGTCGATTGCGAGGCGAAGATGTTGTCGTTTGCGCCGAGGCGGGACATGATGCGGTCGACTGGGGTGAGGGTTGCGGATGCTGCGGGGACGTAGCATCCGATTTGGGCCAGAATGACGGCTACGCAAGTCTAAAATAAGAAAAAAAAGAATGAGCAAGTATTTCAAGAATGGATGAGGGGGGGGAGGGGAGGGGTGGTTTGTATCTTACCATTCTCAAGACTGTCGATTTACCAGCCGCGTTAGCACCCGTGAGAAGTGCAATCTTCGGCGTCTCTCCTCCCAAATTGATATCATTCGGAATGAAATCCCCGCTGCTCGGAAGCATACAAGGATGCCTCAACTCCTCGAAATTGAGAACACTCCTCTCATTCTCCCCCTCTATAAACTTTGGCCTGCATCGAGGCTCTCCAAGTGAAGCCGAAGCCTTGCTCAAGCTAATCAAGCAGTCGAGTTGAGCAACAATCTTGCAAGTCTGGAGCCAAACGGCATAGTCCTGATCGAAGCGAACACAGAACCTCGAGCGAACCTCCTTGACGATTTGGCTGTGGGTTTCCTGCGCCTCACGTAGCGTGCGCACGAGTTTCTTGATCTCGGGTGAGTAGTATCGCTTGACCTTTTGTGTACCAAACATCTGCGTCCAGTTCTTGGGGACATTCTTGATCTTGGTTGGGACTTCAATGAGATAAATATCCTTTCCGATATCTCTGAAGCAGATTTCCTTGCTCCTGCAAAAACGATATTAGAGAATGAAAATCAGCGAGGAGGATATTCATTGCCACTTACTTGTACTCCTTCTGGTATGAAGTCATATACTCTTGCAGCTCATTGATGATACTTTCCACCGTATCCTGACTATTATCAAAATCTTCCTCAAAACCACGCTCCGGCACCAACACACCTTCAACTTTAGCCTTGCTCCTATCGAACGCAGTCTCCCAGGGCCTAAGCTTCTCGTCCAGATCAGGCAAGCTATTGACAAGTTGTCCAATCAAGGAGTCTTGTGGGCCATTGGCAGACAACTCCGTCATCGCATCCCGGATCTGCTCAAACCCCTCAAGAACACGAACAAAGTCTTGAGGCTTCACACCCCCAGCATGTATCCTACTGATCAACCGTTCCAAATCAGGAAGTTTTCCAAGTTGGTAGACAAATGTTTCACGGAATGATTCATGCGCAAGCAGGATATCCACGGCGTCAAGTCGGGCATTGATCTTGTTGATATCGGCAAGAGGGTGGCAGAGCCATTGGCGGAACATTCGTTTACCGAACGGAGTAATACAACGGTTCAACATTGAAAACAATGTCCCCGTCGTATCACCATCAAAGGAATTGGAAAAGATCTAAATCTTGGTCAGCTTTACTCGTTATATGACGGTTGACATTGGAATTACCTCAAGATTCTTCAATGTTTGACCATCCAGCACCAAACTAGTGGCCTTCCTGATTGGGTCATACCAGGTGAAATTCGCCATGCTAACAATATCTTTATCAATCTGGAGATGCTGAAGGTAACTAATCAAACCACCCAATGCAGACATGACAAGCTCCTTCTCCTCAGATTCCTTCAAAATCGTAGGCCAATTATCCATGTTCTCTGGGTCCTCTTGCGAGAAATACTCCCCAGAGATGAGTTCTCGGACTGTCGTACGAGCATCCCAAAACTCCTTTCCAGGCTTAAGTTTGTTCCAGATCGTAGATAGTGCGGTGTTATTTTTCAGGATACGGATAGCCTTTGTAGAAATTTCGTTCTTCTCGAGAATCAATTCCCGTGGGCGAATCTGCGCAACAAACGTTTCAAACTTGGTATAATCCAAGTCATCCTTAAACTCGGTCATCTGGAATGCTCCAGTAGCGGTATCGACAAAAGCAATTCCAAAGGACGGGCAATCGTCACTATCAATAGATTCCTAAACACAATGTCAGTTAAAATCCCAAATAGACCAAGTAAACAAAAATTAAATAATTTACCTTGATAGAAACACAGTACAGACTCATCTCATCTTGGAGCATGTTTTCGTCTACCAATGTTCCACCAGTCAAGATACAACCCAACTCTCTCTTGATGATCTCCTTGGTAGCAGATGCATTTTCCTTCTCGCGCATCTCCTTCCCAATTGCGCTCTCCTTCTGATCTACACGTGCGACTTTGTAACCCTTTGCAATAAACTGAGCGGCCCACATGTCGAACGCGTATTCCGGCATGCCAACCATACTCATATTCACTCTCGACGTAATCTTGAGATCAAATTCCTGGTTTCCAATTGCTATTCCACCGGTTAATTAGCCATCATCATCACGGTACGAATTAATCTTCGGCAAATGAAATTGAAATACTCACTAGCATCATTCTCAAACAGCTCAAAAAATTTGCCTTTCCGGAAGAAAACAACAGTATCCCAATTCTTGCACTTGATCTCCCAATACTGCTTCTCGAAGGGTGTGAATTTCGCCCATGCAGAGGGTGGGATGTATAGTGTTCTTGGATCATAGTCTGGATGGTTTGGGGGATTCCCGTCGGCATCTTTGGGATCTGCGAGCCATGGGTATCGGGTTTCTTTGCCCTCTTTGCCCCCCTTTGGAGGTATAGGGGTGGATTTTGCTGTGGGGGTAGAAGCTCCCACAGCTTTCGATGGAGTTCTGGAGTAACTGGAAGCTCCCTCTTCCTTTGCACGGAAAGCAAACTTGGCCGTTGATGAGGATATAGGTTTTGGTGTAGGAGTAGAACTAGTAGACTTCTTCTTCTTCGATTTGCTCACAGGGGCATCAGAATCTTCTTCGTCTGGGACGATAAAGTCCTCCATTTCTATTTCCGGTAATTAGTTTTAAATTCGGAAATTAATTTTTTTGGGGGAAGCAATTTAAGTTACCTTCGTCAATATCAACCTCCGCGATAGCTGTAAATTCATCTTCACTCTCCACAGCTCTTCGTGCACGTTTAGCTTGTCTAGAGGAAGTTGTTCGAGATGGAACATTAACCTCCTCGTCACTAGACTCCGCATAAGTGACCCTCTTCGCACTTCTCCCACCGCCAAACGCCGCTGCATCCCTCGCCGCAATTGGCGACGAAGGTTCCACCGGGGCACGTTGTAACCTCCCTCTCTTCCTGAACGCGTTACTCGGTGTTTCATCTCCATTTACAGCATCGCTCGAGAACGCTCCAACCGTCCCCGGTGAAGAGGGCAGGTTCAAAAAGTTAATTGCCTTCCCTTTCGTTGACGGTGGTGGAAGATCAACTTCGTCTTCCTCGATTTCATCTTTCCCACTGGGAGTAGCTTCATTCTCTCTCTTATTCTCCTTCTCGTCTTCCTCCTTCACCTCTTTCTTCGGCGTTACGGCCGCGGGGCCTTTTGTGAAGAAGCTCAGCA